CCTTGTGAATCGGAATCAAAGCGATTCTAGAAATCAGTGACGATACCCAGCCCTAATAGTAATACAATCTCATTATTACAAGTAGCATTTACAAGGTATCCCTTTAATACTGTAAAACTCATTTTGTTTATGTGGGGCAACCAATCAAAAGAAGGATTTATTAAAGGCAGAGGATGGAAAACAGCTTCTTTTCTGACAGTGGATGAACTGAGGATGAACCTTATGTAAGTTAAGGTGTAAGGATCATGCGAAGCCACTGTTCTAGAAAGCACGACAGTAAAAACACGGCGTTGAAAATGAGCATAATAGATCCCCTTTAAGAACTACAGTTTATTACACTTAGTGTCAGGAGGGCAATTAAAACAAGTGTGCTGCAGAGTGAGATACACATAATGGGGATTTGTGTGCATGTTTATATATTTGTGCACGATTCCGTGTGTGTGTGTGTGTGTGTGTGTGTGTGTGCGTGCGTGTGCGTGTGCGTGTGGATCATGATTTGTGTCTCACTGTGTTTTTCTCCTTTAAAACTGAACTGGCAGTATGCCAGAAGTCTCTTATTAGCAGCCAATTAGCAAGGGGGAAGATGAATACACTGCCCCGAAAAATAAGAAGAACACCAGGCTGTTTTCTGCAGTAAAGTGGAAGAGAGACGGGAAGACTTGGAGACTTATTTTGTTCTCCTAGAGCCTAATGAGTATTTTTTTTTACCTGTGTGTTTCAGGGTCGGCCGTGCTTTTTGGGTAATTGAATTCAAAAGACAAGAGAGGGTACTGATGAACAAAGATTTTGTTTGCGTGTACCCAGTAACCTGTAAGAGGGATTTCATAAGAATCTGGCTCTGTGTGAGTCAGGTCAGGTAGATAATTCAGCTCCCACCTCCACACTGCGAGCGTAGGCAGTGACAGAAGAGGCTGCGACGACTCAACTGTTTTTGTTTTTGCAGCTTTTTTATATTTATTTATTTATTTTTTTAATTTTTTGTGAAGAGGCAGGTCCGGTGGGCTGAGGGCAGCAAAGGTTGAGAGTGATTTTGTTATACTCAGCAACGTGTACCATTCAGGAATAGTAATTTGGCTCGGTTTGCCTAATTCGGCCTGACTGTGTGTGTGTTCGTTTATATGAGCCCAAGACTGAATCAGATTTGGCAGATTAGGGTATAAAAAAGAAAAAGATAAAAAAAAGGTCTCCCCTGAACTAAAGAGGACTCTCCTTTTCATTTCTGACTAAGCCATTGTGCCCCAATGAACACACTATTGATGGACTGTATTATTTTTGAATTATTTTGACCAGAAGACCAAGTAATGTATTATGCAGTGAGATTGATGGGTTAGGGAGGTTTACAGCCTAAAGCCAGTGCATTCAAAGTCACGAAGGGCACTCTCTTTCAACCTGGCTAGATCACCATGGTAACAATATGGGAACTAAAATAGCTAGCTATATACTAGCTATAAAGAATCTTTTTCTGGGGTAGTGTGTTTATGCATACGGACCTCTCAAACCAAACTGGTTTTATTTATATAGTGCCAAATCGCAAAAACAGTTGCCTCATAGGTCCTCATAGACACTACAATGATATAGAGAAAACCCCAACAATCAGACAGCCACTGATGAGTGACCACTTGGTGACAGCGGGAAGGAAAAACTCCCTTTTAATAGGAAGAATACCGGTCCCTCAAATGGCCGCAGGGGCAGCCATCTGCAGGACCATAGTGAATGAGGGGAGGGCGACAGGACAAAAGATACACTGTGGAAGAGAGCCAGAGATTAACAATAAGTAATGATATAATGGAAAGTGGTGTATAAACACAGAGTGTATCCATAACTATGTTGTAAGTAAGATCATGAATGAGGCTGTGCAGTTG